GGGTGACTGAAGCTCCCAACCGCTCCTTTTTTTCTTTTTTTTTTTAAATTCTGGGCCAGCTTTAGCATTGAGGCTCCAGCTCTTAGGCCTCTGCCGCTGAAAGAAGGTTTCTGGCCTTTGCTCACAATGTTGCGAATCTGCTGGCTGAAGTCCAGTGGTATTTGTTAAAATGTTTCAAACTGCAGGCTCAGAGGCCTGCAAGGCAGGCTGGGAACGTTGGTTTCCTCCGTCACTGAAGCAAGGAAGCGTCATGTTAGTTTCAAGCCGCCTGGCTGCCGGCCGCCATCTTGGCTGGCAGTTAATTTGTATATCGTCCTGATTAGCCAATGGGAAGGGTAGCGGTCGTACGCTAATTACCATGTTTCTCTTTTATTAGATAGGATCATTCACTAAAACAAGCACAAATTGCAACCTAAATCTAACTATAGGGTCACCAGACAGTCCTTTTCTTTAGTAAACAACATGTAATAGAGGTTTTATCTTAATACTAGAGGCCCAGCGCACAAAATTCATGCACGGGTAGGGTACCTAGGCCTGGCCAGTGATCAGAGCCCATCCAGGCCTTCTGGCTGCCGGCCAGAGCCTCCCTTCCCTGGCTGCTGGCCCGGGCCTTCCTTCGCTCTGCACCACCCCTTGGTGGTCAGTGCATGTCATAGTGAGCAATCAAACTCCCGGTCTCCTGGTCAAACTCCCAAGGGGACACGTTGCATATTAGGCTTTATATATATATAGGTAGATCATATCAAGGAAGACAACCTAAAATTAGCAAATGTTACATGGGAAACAATTAGAGTTACCTTGTTTCTGACCCCAATTATAAATTACTACTAGCTAATGGCAATGCCCGGAACTGTACCACGATCCTCTCCTGCCTAGGTATTTGGGGTATCTATGGCTGTCCTTGCTCTAAAAAGCTTTATAACCATTTTTAAAATACAAGTTAGTCATACATAGATGACGTATTTCAACATTACAATAACTTCACATTCTATAAGCATTCCAAACTATTCTATAAATACTTGTGAAACAATAATACATTCATTAAATAAGCTTGTTTTAATTCTTAAAATCACAAATACTCAAACTTGTCAAAAAACTGCTGGCTCAGGACTTCAAAATGATAGACTAGGCAAATGTGCTTGCCTCTTCCTTTCCATTTATCTTACCGAAATGATAGGAGAAAAAAAGGTAATAAATCTATTGAGTTGAGAAATAAACAAAAGCAAAAGTAGCCCCAACCCAAGAATAAACACAAAAGTCCTAAACGAATGTATGTGCCATCCTCTGGTGGCACTCTAGAGAGGCTCCAAGGTCAGAGCTGGAAGAGCAGAAACAGGAATGGAGCGAAGTGCCCTAGGATTCAAAAGGCTGGGATTCAACTCCTCCCAAGCACTTTCCATTCCCATGACTATTTGGCTAAAGGTGTAGCTGCAATTGAAACCAGCCTAAAACCGAAAAAAACCCCACACTTTCTATAGACTCTAAACCTTACATTTTGAACATACTAAATGAAGACTTTACTGAGTAAAGACCTGGCAAAGAAAAGGTGCTTACAAATTAAAAAAAGAAAGTAAGAAACTAAGCCTTCTTATTGGAAACTACGGCCACTCCCCTCCCTCACACCCTAAAGTGAAGCCTGCCAACCATACCTAGAGCTCAGCATCAGCCCTCCTGTTTGAGGGAGGAGCCTACTGGGTAATACAAGTTAACCAAAGTTAAGGGGAACACACTCCAGTAACCTACACTAATGCCATACAGTCTACACAGGGGTGGGGAATCTTTTTTCTGCCAAGGGCCATTTGGATATTTACAATATCATTCATGAACCATGCAAAATTATCAATGTAAAACTGAGCCTGCTCTATTTTGTCCAACATTTAATTAACTCACCCCTAATGCCTTGGCAGGGCCAGACCAAATGATTTCTGGGCCTTATGGTATACTTCCTGTGGGCTGGACGTTCCCCACCCTTGGTCTAGAACCTAAATCTTCACTCATAATATCAACAGACAACTAAAAATCGTCAGATACTTGAAAAAAATCAACACACAAAGAGAAAGTACCTAAACTCTGCCTTGAGGAAGCTTTCCAGAAGGGACATTATGAATAGAAGGCAGACAAGGTAAGATTCAAGGAATGAGACTAGAAAATAAAATGAAAGAGATTGGCAAGTACATAAGAAACTGGAAGGGTTGCTGTGGATGACCTGAAGTGAGATTACACGAAACTCAGGATGGCTCTGCTGATGGATTAGACAGTGGAGATGCAGGTAGACAGTGAACAACTAAATGAATGACACCACATACGACTGATGATCATTTAGCACAGTGAAGAATTACTGCTACTATCAGAAGTTGGAGGAAGAGGGTGACTACTTGTTATATTTCATTGTCCTTTGTTCAGAGCAGAACTGTCATGTGGCTAACAGAGTAGCAAAATATATTGGTGCCAACTGTAACCATGACTCACTCACTCCCAAATTCTGTGTGAGGGAGGTAATGAGTGTGCGCTCACTTGCACTGCTATCCTGGAAAGTCAAGGATCAAGCCAGCCATTGCATACGAGAGAAAGAGTACGGTTAGAAAACAAAGTAATTAAATTATATCATTGTCCTGTTACTCATCAAAGTTGATTACTAGCTCTAAATACTTAACTGTCTTCAGTCACAGTTTTTGTGCTAAAACTGGGAGTAAATTGCTGAACATATCTACTTCATAACATTTTTATAAAGATTAAATGAGAAATGGTTACTTAACATAGTGCCTCTATAGTGCCTCTAGGAAGCATTCAAATGCCCAGTCATGAACTCTTCTCACCAATTCTCAGTGGCACCCAAAAAACCCCCTGCATTTATTCTACTTTTCTCAAGATTACTCTGAGCATTTATTACGTAGAAAAGGTCAGGAATCTTCAGCATCTGTTCTTCGTGTTCTGGGAGGCAGAGGCACATCCTCCTCTAATCTTCTAGGTCACTAATTTTACTCCACAGGATGCTATCTATTTGGAGTATTTTCTCCCTTCTCAAACTTCATTTTCAGAGCTTTTTGATGAGGCTAAGCAAGTGTTTTCCTGGCCAAAAATGGTCTCTTTAGTATTTAAAAGAAGTACCATATGACATCTCAAAGAAATATTACAATATCAGTTGCTACTATACTAGTAAGCATAGAGATAAAAATTCTGTTCTTCAAGGCCAACTAACCACTTTTCCTACATTTTCTTCAGAAAGCCAACTGGAAAAAACATACATAAATAAATACCAGAGACCTGGTGCACGGAATTCATGCACTCGGGGGGTGGGGGGAGTCCCCTCAGCCCAGCGTGCACCTTCTCGCAGTCCGGGAGCCTGCAGAGGATGTCTAACTGATGGCAGTTGGACATCCTTAGTGCTGCTGTCATGGAGGCGGAAGAGGCTCCCACCACTGCTGCTGCACTTGCCAGCCCTGAGCCCGGCTCACAGCTTCTGGCTGAGCAGCGCTCCCCCTGTGGGAGCGCACTGACCACAAGGGGGCAGGTCCTCCATTGAGCGTCTGCCCCCCGGTGGTCAGTGTGCGTCATAGCAACTGGTTGTTCCACAGTTTGGTCGATTTGTATATTAGTCTTTTATTATATAGAATTCCACCTATGCCCAAACACTTCCGCTTTCAGGACTTAAATGCTAGTAGAGACTCAGATAAGATTCCAGCCAACATTCATTCATCCCCTGAAGATTAGAAGCAGGATACCTCAAATCTGCAAATTCTGGATCTAGGAATGAGAATAAACCTCTCAGTGATTAAAGTGTTAGTGATTATGCTGGGTACTTTATGTATATTTTCTCATTTGTTACTTTAAAAAATGGTAAGTAAATATATTTCCCTTTTATACACGAAAAAAAATTGAACCTCAGAAAGGTTAAGTGACTTGTCCAAAGTCATATATCCAGTACAGGGAGGAGCCAGGATTCAAATCCGGTTCTCAAACTCATAGTCTACCCTGGGCCCCATGCTGCTAAAAAACCAGCCTTGGAGCGCAGCTTGGACATGTCCCTGCAGAGCCAAGCCCTGTGGAGGCAGCCACAAACTGTGGATCACTTGAAGCTTCACACATGCTCCCAAGAGCCAAAAAAGGACAGCTTCTGACAGTGGCTAGCACCAAAGTACCTCCCGAAGTACCTCCCAGGAAGCCCATAACTGGCATGCAAAAGAGCCTCAGTAAACATAAGAGCAGGATCCAAAGAGAGAGCGCAGCAGGCACTAAACTCTGCTGAACTCCACTTTGCTTTTTTTCTTTTTCATTACTTTATGTTTTCTTTTTTATTGCTTTATTATTTTTTCTCTTTTTTCATCTATTTTTATCTTTCGTCTTCTTACTCTACTTTTTTGTCTTCCTTCTCTTTTTTCCTTTTCATAATTTTTCCTTCCTCTTCTTTACTCGTTTCCTTTTCCTATTCATTATTCTTATTTTTCACTCCTTTCATATTCTTTTTTTCTTCCCCCCTTTCCCTTCAGTTTTCTTTTCTATTCTTTTTTTATTTGTGTCCTCCTTTCTCTTTCCTCTCTTTTCTTTTGTGGTTGGTTTTACTGTTGTTGTTGGAGTCTCTTGTATGTTTTTGTTTTGTCTTTTGTTTTGTTCTGTCAGCATCTGTACATTAGCTTGCACAACATGGTCAGGGTTGAACCTCACAGTCAGACAGTCTGAGGGAGTTCCCACCCATGAACAGGACAACACAATCAAGACCCAGTTACAACAGGAGTCCAAATAACCCACACATGGAACATTACACAAGGAGGATCCAGCTTAGGAGATCGAAGAGAGTGCGCCTCCGGGTCCCACCGGACACTTATTACATAAGGCTGCCCCACAAAGACTGGGAATCATAGCATTTCTATCTGATACAAAGAAACAAACAAAAAGACAGCTAAAATGGGGAGACAAAGAAACAGCCCTTAGATGAAAGGACAGGAGGACTCTCCAGAAAAAGCTAACTGAAATGGAGGCAAGCAACTTATCAGTCATAGAGGTCAGAGTAATGATTATAAGGATGTTCAAAGAACATAGTGAGAACTACAAGGAACTTTATCAGCATGAAAAGAGACAAAGAAACCATGAGTAAGTAACAGTCAGAAATGAATACCATATCTGACATCAAGAATATACTAGATGGAATTAAAGTAGGCTGTATGAAGAAGCAGAGGATCAAATCACCAATTTGGAAGACAAGGTAGGAGAAAAAACACCCCACACCCAAATAGAGCAGCAAAAGGAATTTAAAAGCAGGAGGATAGTTTAAGGAGACTTTGGGACACCATGAAACATAATATCTGCATGGTAGGTGTACCAGAAAGAAGAAAGTGAGCAAGGAATAGAGAACCTGTTGGAAGAAATGATAGGTAACTTGCTTAAGCTGGTGAAGGAAGTCACAAGTAAAGTAAGCACAAAGAGTTGCAATCAAGAATGAACCCAGCCGAACTGGTTTGGCTCAGTAGATCGAGCCTCGGCCTGCGGACTGAAGGGTCCCAGGTTTGATTCCGGTCAAGGGCATGTACTTTGGTTGCAGGCACGTCCCCACTGGGGGGTGTGCAGGAGGCAGCTGATTGATCTCTCTCATCAATGTTTCTAGCTCTCTATCCCTCTCCCTTCTTCTCTGTGGAAAGTCAATAAAATATATTTAAAAAAAAGAAATAAAGACAAAGAGATCATCTTAAAGCAAGAGGGAGAAAATTACCTATAAGGGAGTACCCATTAGAACGCCAGCTGATTTCTCAACAGAAACACTTCAGGCCAGAAGGTAGCATGAAGTATTCAAAGTAATGAAAACCAAGGACCTGAACCCAAGACTACTCTATCCAACAAGGCTATCATTTAAAATTGAGGGTGAAATAAAGAGCTTCCTGGATAAAAAAGGCTAAAGGAGTACATTACCACTAAACCAGCATTGCAAGAACTGATAAAGAGACTGCTTTAAGAAGATGAAGAAAAAGACAGAGAGAGAAATAGAAGTATAAAGAAAAAAAAATGGCAATAAGTACCTATCAATAATAACGTTAAATGTAAATGGACTAAATGCTCCAATCAAAAGACACAGGGTAGCTGAATGGATAAGAAAACATGACCCATATATTTGCTGTCTAAAACAGACATATCTCATAACAAAAGACACACACAGACTGAAAGTGGAGATGAAAAAAATATTCCATGTAAATGAAAATGAGTAAAAAGCTGGGGTAGCAATACTCAAATCTGACAAAATAGACTTCAAAACAAAGGCCATAAAAGAGACAAAAAAGGTCACTACATAATACTAAAGGGATCAACCCAAAAAGGGGACATAACCCTGAAACATATGTGTACCCAATATAGGAGCACATAAATATATAAAAAATTTTAGTGGACTTTAAGGGAGAGACCGGCAGCAACACAGTCATGGTAGGGGCCTTTAACACCCTGTTATCATCACTGGATAGATCTGCCAGACAAAAAAATCAATGAGGAAACAGGGACTTTAAATGACACAGTGGATAAGATGGATTTAATTTAAAGAACATTTTACCCAAAGCAGCAATTATACATTCTTCTCAAGTGCACATGAACATTATCAAAGATAGACCACATGTTAGGGCACAAACTAAGTCTCTATAAATTCAAGAAGATTGAAATCATATCAGCATTTTCTCAGATCACAATGGCATGAAACTTGAAATCAACCACAATAAAAAAAACTGAAAAACACACATGGAGTCTAAATAACTTATTATTATTGAATAGTGAATGAGTTACCAAGGAAATCAAGGAAGAAATAAAAAATTACTTAGAAATAAATAAAAACAAACAACAACCCAAAATCAATGGGACACAAAGAAAGCAGTTCTGCAAAAGAAGTTCTTAGTGTTACGGGCCCACCTCAAAAAGCAAGAAAAATCTCAAACAATCTACCCTACACCAAAAGAACTAGAAAGAAAACAAGAAAAGCAGAAGGAAATAATAAGGATCAGAGATAAATTGACAAAATCTCTCTAAAAAAAAAAAAAGACAAAAAATTAATTAAACCAAGAGTTGGTTCTTTGAAAAGATAAATAAAATCAGAAATGAAAGATGAGAATAACTGACATCACAGAAATATAAAGGATTTTAAGAAAATACTATAAACAACTATATTCCAATGAATTGGAGAACCTTGGCAAAATGGACAAATTCCTAGATATAAAATCTTCCAAAACACAATCAGGAGGAATCAGAAAATCTGAATAGGCTAATAACAACTAATAAAACTGAAGCAATAATAAAAAATTCACAGCAAATAAAAGTTCTGCACTGGATGGATTCACAGGCAAGTTTTACCAAACATTCAAAGACAAACTAACACCTATCCTCCTCAAATTATTTCAAAACATTCAAGAGGAGGGAAGACTTTCAAATGCTTTTTGCGATGCCAGCATTATCCTAATTCCAAATGCAGATAAAGACACTACAAAGAAAGAAAATTACAGGCCAATATCCCTGATGAACATAGATGCTAAAATTCTCAACAAAATATTAGCAAGTCAGATATAGCAATACATTAAAAAGAGCATACACCATGACCAAGTGGGACTCATTCCAGGAACACAAGGCTGGTACAATGTTTGCAAATCAACGAGTGTGATGCATCACATAAACAAAATGAAAGATAAAAATTACATGATCATATTAATAGATGCAGAAAAAGCAATTTGATAAAATCCAGCACCGGCTTATAACAAAAACTCTCAGCAAGGTGGGAATAGAGAGATCATACCACAATATAATAAAGGCCATATATGAAAAACTCACAGCCACTCAATGGGCAAAAACTAAAAGCGTATTTCATTTAAGATCACAAGACAGTGATGTCCACTTTCACCACTCTTATTCAACACTAGAGGCCTGGTGCACAAAAATTTGGGCACTGGGGGGGGGGTCCTCTCTCAGCCGGGCCTGTGCCCTCTCGCAGTCTGGGACCCCTTGGGGGAATGTCCACCTGCTGGCTTAGGCTCGCTCCCCTGGGGATCGGGCCTAAGGTGGCAGTCAGACATCCCTCTGGCAGCCCGAGAGCCCTTGGGGATGTCCACTTGCGAGTGGGGAGCAGGCCTAAGCTGCAGTCGGACATCCTCAGCGCTGCTGAGGAGATGGGAGAGGCTCCTGCCACCACTGTTGTGCTGGAAGTCACCAGCCTGGCTTGTGGCTGAGCAGAGCTCCCCATGTGGGAGCACACGGACCACCAGGGGGCAGCTCCTACATTGAGTGCCTGCCCCCTGGTGGTCAGTGTGTGTCATAGTGACCAGTCATTCCCAGTCGTTCTGCTGTTAGGGTCAATTTGCATATTACCCTTTTATTATATAGGATAGAGGCCTGGTACATGGGTGGGGGCCAGCTGGTTTGCTCTGAAGGGTGTCCTGGATCAGGGTGGGGATGCCACTGGGGTGCCCGGCCAGCCCGGGTGAGGGGCTGAGGGCTGTCTGCAGGCTGGCAAAACCCCCTTCAGGTTGGAGGTCCCTGCTGGGGTGCCTGGCCAGCCTGGATGAGGGGCCGATGGCCGTTTACAAGCTGGTCAAGCCCCCCAGTGGGGATTCTCACCCCATGGGGGTGTGGCCAGCCTGGGTGAGGGGCTGATGGTTGTTTGCAGGCTGGTCACACCCCCTTCAGAATGAGGGTCCCTACTGAGGTGCCTGGCCAGCCTGGGTAGGGGCTGAGGACTGTTTTCAGGCTGCCCACAGCCCCTTCAGGGTAGGGGGTCCCACTGAGGTGCC